TGAAATTTCAAAGATTAGTAATTTTTGAAAATTAAAATTTTTTTCTCTAAAATATCAAATCATTACCAAATGGAAATTGATTCATTCACATTGATAACATTTTTGTAATCTTGCAACAGATCGATAATATTTGCTAATGTTGAAGGTATCCAACGACGGCGTTGATTGAAGAATTCATTGAAACCTTCGGGTGCATAAGTTAAAGCATCTGATGCTGCACAATATTCAACCCTGTAGAATGAATGTTTTTAAAANNNNATATATATATTTATTTCTTTCTTTTTCATTTCTTAAAACTTATATACAAATTTTCAAATTAGTAATTAATCATTTTAAATGATCAACATAAATCAATTCATTTTAGCTATGAAAACAAAGTATTTAATATTGAATGAAAATATAAATTAAAAGTTTTTACCATTTCTGATAAGTTAATTGTAATGATAAGAAATATAACAAAATTACAAAAAAAAAAAACAAATATAATTAATATGATGGTTACCGATAACCTCGTTGTAGAAGTAAAGTACATAACCAACGATCTTCACCCTGATCATATTGAATAAAATCAACCGGATTTTCGGCCTGAAATAATACAATTTGAGGGATCGCAGCCTAATGTTTGTAAAATGACCTTGTGAGAAATATTGAAAAACATTTTATCATCATAGTTAATCACATGGCTAATTATGGAATTTCATCATGAAATAGTGATCTGAAGTACTTATTATTGAATAAAAATGTAAATAAAAAATTTTTATCAGAAAAAAAAAAACAGAAAATGCAATAAATAATAAGACAACCTTCGATGCATATCTTCTGGTAACATTATCATCCATCAGTGCCAATGAACGGAACAACGAGAAGCAACCGGGTGAGCAAAGTACGCAACCGATCATATGTTCCGTTGCTTTCTGTAACCAATGACCAACTGCATATTCAAATTTTTGATACCATATCATCAAACCTAAAAACAAGTGACTATTTAAAAATTGTAAAAATTTGAATGTAAAGAAAATAAATTGAAGAAAAAAAATATTTACAAATTTTTAAAATTGCTCCTTTTAAGATTCATTTCGTTGTTGTAAAAAATTGTGGAAATTTTTGAATTACTTAAAAAATGCCAGAATTCTCAATAGCTTTTCATTTGCAATCACTACCAGATCCACGTGGATGTATTCGACCGCAAGCTGCTCCAAGACGTCGATCTTTTTTCATCAAATCAACAAGAAGATGAACACATTGTGGTGAGAAATCTACATCACCATCTAACGTTAGAATAAATGTATTCTCCGAGATTATCTCTTTCCTTACTTCATCGTCCACTTTCATCATTAACTGATAACCGAGCAAATAGTACAGGTACATCACCTTAAATGATCACCTTAAATGATAATATTTTGATGAAATTAAACAATTTGAAAATAAAATTATAATTCAAAAGTAATATATGACAAGCTAAGGTATAAAATACAATTTAAAAAAATCAAAAAACAAAACAATGATTAGCATTGATTTTAGAAAATAAACTTAGCTATAGGAAATGAATTCGAAAAGCTTTACTGAATAAACGAATTATAACAATTTCAATTTATATAAAAATTGGTCAGGAAAAAAAATGCATACCTGACTCCAACGCTTTCGAACTCGAATTTTTTGCTTATCTTTCAAATGTATCATTAATCTATTTCTGCCAGGCATAATAAAGTTCAAACGTCCACCATACGGAGTTGAAATTTTTTTCGGTGGTTTTAATCTCATTTGAGTTTGATGTAACGCACTAAATTTTAGCATATCAAGAAATTCAGTTTTTCTATATCCGTCAAAAATGAATCATTTCTTCTTTAATTTTCAAAAAAAAAAAATTTAATTCAATATACATAAAAAACAAACGAACACTGTTTTAATTTTAATCAGTCCTGGAAAAAAAAAATAAATATTCAACAAAACCTGGCCGCTTCATCAATTTTATCAATCAGTTGTTGGACAAATTTATTCATCACTGGTTCACCATATTCATTGATATCAAAAGCATCATCAAAAAATATATGCGCCTCGAATTCATAATAATCTGGATCTATGATCTTTAAAAAAATAAAATTACCTTCTTATTTTTCTTTTTTGTTTAAATAGGAATTAAAATTATAAGAGCAAAATCAAGTGATATCAAATAAGCCAGAAAATTTTATGTGCTAATTAATGAAATTTACTTTACCAGAAAATTAAATGAAATTTACTTCTTTGCCAAAAAATTCTATGTGAATTAAATGAAATTTACTTCTGTGCCAGAAAATTTTATGTGAATTTATTACTTTAAGATATTTTTGAGCATTTCTTCTAGCACATTGATCCTCATCAAGACGAAAGATACTTTTCAACATGCAAGTCATCTCGATCGCTGTTTCATGCCACATTGTTGCACAAACGTAAATTTTTGTTACCGCATCTGCTGATGATGCCATTTCTCTTAAGAAAATATAGAAATAAATAGCATTTGATCAAAACAGTGATAATTAAATGATATTCAAATTACAGTAATGGTTTAAAATCTTTAAAATTTTAATCCATGGTTCATCCAAAGTTCGCTAATTTCATTCGTCAACTTCAAGTTGTCAAAAAGTTCAATTCCGAACAATTTCACACATTTATAAATGAAAGTTTAAAAAAAGACATTACAAGAATTGATTTGATCTATTAAATAATTTCCAAGTATTTGAGTAATCTTGGCTAATCAGTGACTGAAATAATCAGTTTTCTTTTTTTTAAACTAATCAACGATGAACCACTGGGATATTTAATAATTATGCTTTTTAAATAATCATTTTTTCTTTAATAATCAGTAACAAAACGAACTTTATCATAGCTGTTTCGACTACTTTACCCGTGGAACCACTTGAAAGTGATGCAATCGGCTTCGTATACGTCAGTCCAAAGTTTACATCACGTGCTGACAATTTTTCTGTATCGAAATCCAAATCCTGATATATGGAAAATTATAGAATTTGAGCTTCTAAATTAGTTTCGTTAGATTTTTTATCGCTTCTCTTCCTAATTGACAATATGTTTTGAAAAAAGAAGAAAAATGATATTTTATCAGATCATAACCTCAGTTCGAATTTTTGTCATATCATCACATCGTCGATTTAGTGCCAAACATTGATCCGTGAAGAGAGCGCTATTGTATGGCAGAATGAACAATCTTTAAAAACAGGCATAAATTTAAATTTTAACTGCTTAAAATTTTTGAAATATTTCGATTCAGTTGAAGTTTCATTGAAAAAATTTTCAAATTTGCCATCGACAAAGATGATTTTTTTTTCTTAATCTATTGAAATTTAGTTTTTTTTTCTCAATCAAACACTAACAACTCCTAAAATATTTTATATGATTTTTTTACATGAAAATGTTGAATTTGCTAGAATTCATACTTGGCCGTCTTGGCAAGTCTTTCCTGACGTGGCCTCCAAAGATGTATTGTTGTCCATAATTGTACCATCAAAATAGCAAGCCAAATTTGTGTTAATGGTGAAAGGAAAAATTCCGACAAACTCTTTGTTGTATCACATCGCCAGAACAATTCCTAAAAAGTATTACCTAAAAAATCATTATTTTAAAACTTCAAGCTTAATATGTAACTTTTCCAAATTAATTTATAAAATAACTTATAAAATATGAAATTATGAAGTAGCTTATAAATAAGAAGTGACGTATAAAATATGAAAATTAGACTAAGAGATTTGACTGAGCTATTAAAATTTTGCAAGATTTAATTTGGAAAATTCAAAAGGAAATTAAAGCATTATTTGAGAACTATTCCGAAAATAGTAACTTTATGTGAATTCTTTGATGACAAAAAAATTGCTTTTAGATACATTCAATTACAAAAAAAAAAGATTTTGACAGTTAAGAAAAAATTGCTCCGGAAAATAATAATAAACATTCCGGAAAACCTACTTTAGGAAGAAAATTAGTTGAGTGACAAGCATTGGTGTATCGTTTCGTACACACTGTAAATAATAAAGCAACAGTTGCCGGAACACTAAGCACCATCGGTAATGCAAAACATGTCCGTTGTAGCATTACCTGAAATTTTACTAATGAATTTTAACAAAGGTAAATTTGTGATATCCGACAAGTTCCGGTAATGAATGAATTCTTACTTGATGTCCAATATTAATTCGTCAAATAAACATTCTTTTATAGGTAACATTTAATATAATAAGACAAAACACAATGAAACAGAGTAATGAATTTCAATTTAATTTCAAATAATTAATCGTTTTCAAATTTTAATTAAAAGTCTTTATTTAATCCGATATGAAAAATTCCCTGTCATTGGTTTAGAAAAATCTTAGAAGAAAGAGAAAACAATGTAGGTTATTACCTTGCAAGCAAATTTAGAAGTATGATAGGTAAGTATTACAGCAATAGCTTGGATGAGTACAATCCAAAGAGCATCAAATCGAGTTGTATATTGATTTAATTCCACGTAATCATCATATATCTAAAACTATCATCATAATTCAATTTCACCTAATCATCGTGGAGTATGTCTAAAATTATCTAAAATAGCGATTCAATTTTATGTTATCATGATATATCTAAAACTAATCATGACAATTAACAAAAAATTGAAATTCTCAATTATTTTTAGCTGAAACAAAAATCATTTCTGTCCTGTTAATTACTACGATTTATTTTGTGATATTAACTTAACTGAATATTGAACAAAATTATATATCTATTGATATTTTAAAAGGAAAATTTAATTATCAAATAGTTTTATCTAATTGATTATCTTTTCAATCAAATAAACAAATATTCAAATTCTTTTAATACCATTTTATTTTTAACAAGAAATTAGAAGGCTATTTTGCAGAGACTGTCAAGACTAATTTCAAATATTTCAATTATACATACGTTATAAGTATTCGGTGGTATTTCATATTCATCATCATCATCAACAGTTCGTTTCTTTCGATTTTCGAAAGATTTTTCAGATTCTTCTCGGGTTAAATTCTCAGGTGATTCATTCGGTTTAAAATTGTTAACTGCTGGTATTACATTGTGATCAGTCTGTTTGTTCATTTTTTGAATTGGAAAGGATTGTCTTGTTGGTGATAATGGAGATGATAATGGTAATTTTCCATGTATCAATTGGTTTTGATTTAGAAAATTACGGTTATTCCATTGATTGGTTAAATTACGACTGCTATGATTTTTCAATACAACAGATGGTTTCATCATTCGCATCCCAACGAAATTCAAAGTATGTGCAGTTGAAAGTTTAGTGTTCTCTAAAGATAAAAAATATTGTTTGTATTTATAGCATTATTTTTCTATCACAGTGATTAATTAGCTGTCTTAATAACTTTAGAGCATAGGCTGATAAGAAAAAGACAATAATAAAAGATAGCATTATCGATCAAAATTTTAAATAGATTAGCATCGAAAAACACTCATCCATATTTGCATCTTTTTTTTTTTGCTTTAATATCTATAAATCAAAATAAACTTTCGTTTCGATATAAATGAATTTAGAAGATGAAACTATTTTAATTAATTAATTAATTTTGGAGATATAATCAAATGTTATGCTATTGACAAAATCCTAAATTACTGCATTGACCAACCATTATTAGCTATTTCCATTTCCATACGACCATAAAATTTGTTAATTTGTGTTTGATTTAAATGTCGGGCAGTTATTGTTAATAATTTTTCGCCAAATGGATCATTTTCGAAGAGATCTTTCGGCGTTATACTGAAATCGTTTGTTTAAGTTGCCTCGAGAAATTCTAATAAAAGCTTAAAAGTAAGTGAAGCGACTGCTATTGAATGACATTAAAATTTAGCTTTAGTTAAACTGTAAAAGTATGTTGTCCAATCGAAAAGGCATAAGCGAAAGGAATTGTAACTTCGATAACTTAATTGAGTAAATTGAACAGATGGTTTAACTGTTAGAATTATAAGCTTATTTCATGAAACTGACATAGTTGTACAAGTAGATAAGATCAGGCTTTTTCTAATTCGAGAC